TTCCCCACTATATGACGCCCTACCTTAAAGGCCGAGTACCAATTATCATGCCATATGCATTTAAGTGCTGAATGATTCCGAACTAAGAGCACTAAATTGCAGTTTGATACGGAATAAATTCTAGCATGCTCGGCAAGGCGCCTTTTGATGACGTCGTAGGCGTGGTGATGTTGGTTCTGAATCCAGAGATGAACTCACCGGTGCATGTGCACTGCTACCGTTGCGATAGTTCTGAGACAGCTCGTATCATGCAAGCAAACCTTCAGGTTCGAGAAATTGTTTCAACAGTTTCCTGGTATTCTGTGAATGTCTACGTTCAAGCGTAATGAGTGCTGACACACTAATTATATTATATGAAGCTTTCTGATTCCTCTAACAAATTATCTTCACATTTGGTATCAATTATTTAATTAATTCGCTTTATATTCAGCTACTGACCTCCCGTCCAGAAGTCCAGCGTTCCATCAGCGATTTAGAGCAACGTCTCTTTCTTTCCGGATTACTGATGCCCAGGTGATGAAAAATTATATTTTTTTTGTACAAGAAATGAAAAAAGGAGAATCGAGTAAGGATGGAATGAAAGAGAAACTGCAGGTGGTACTTGAACTCCATATCTAATGGATGGGGAGGGGGTGGCTCCAAACTGTTTTCGAACGTGAGGCATCCGCTGTTTTCGTGGGATACTGTCATTCCGTGGGAAGTTGATAATATCAGGTTGGAAGGAAAGTCCTGTCAGTGTTTTTTGAAAAGCCTACACTTTTCGGTTCTTGATGCTCGAACATGGCGTAACATGCCATGCTTGTAGAACATTCTAGGAGCTTTCCTGCAAGAGTTGTGTGAGGGCGCCTGCACTTTCCTGGGTCTAATTACGATGTCAGTTTCACAGGAGCATCTTCGGGTCATCATGTTCTATCAGTGGCCCGCGGCACTGGAGCAGCGGCAGCTGTCCGCAACATCAGCAGTGCATTGGCGGAGGACACCACTACCATCGTCCATCTTTGGTTCGCTCGCTTCGCGAAAGGAGACACGACCCTCGAAGAAACCTCGGTTGGGACGGCCCACGAAGTGGAAGACTCCACCATTCTCGAAGCTGTCAAGGAGGATCCGGAGGTTACCACCCGCAGTCTTGCGACAAGACTCGGATGTACCTAACTGACAGTCGACCGCCTGTAAGCCCTTGACTACCGAAAAGTACTGGCTCGATGGATCACTCACCTTGACCGATGGCACGCTGCGCACCCGGTCAGTCTCCCCTTCTCCGACCTCGTCAAAAGGTGTTTCGGGGAGACTTCTCAGTGGAGATGAGTCCTCTGTGATTTCAACCCACACGGCACCATGCCTCTCTAAGGAGAAGATCCATTCTAGCAGTCCAAACCGGTGATGTATTCCGAGAAGTCGAATGTTTAGTTGTTTCTGCCAAACGAGGTTTTTTTTAGATGGAACCTTTTTATTGGCCTAACGTTTCGACCTTCTCGTCTTCTTCAGAGGCCTGAAAGTGGCTCGAAGCTCTTAATTTGTTACCTACC